TAGGTAGGTAGGTAGGTAGGTAGGTAGGTAGGTAGATAGGTAGAGCCGGCGGTCGTGTATCGGGCAGGTTCTTGGAGTCGCGTCGCAATCAATACCTCTGGTTTCTCTCTCCGCCGCGCTGTTCCCATCCGCGCCTTCTTCCAGCGTCACTCACCCGAGAATATTTCTCTCCGCTCGCCACCCTCGAGTTCGACCCGCAAAACTCGCATCCTCCCGCGTCCACCCTTTGCCGCCCCCACGACGATCGTTCACGCTTGTCGTCACCACCGCCACTGTTGCCATCGCCGTCGAATCGTCATCGTCGTCGACATCGACGTTGTCGTCATCGTCATTTGCGACCTACAAATCGCACGGATCCGCGACACCGATTTCTTGCGCCCTCAATTAACATCAACTTTATTAAAAGTCCGACATTTCAGTCATGTATAACAAGCCAAAAAGATAATCGAAGATTACTTTGCGTTATAATACTATTAATCAATGGCGTTGTGAATCGTAATACGTAAGCAATGTACCCCTTTCTGATAGGGATGTCACGTTGCAAGTGATATTGATGAGACCAAGCGATATGTGCACCTGGATGCAGGACAATCATTGCAGGTGTCAGGGGTGAGACGTTAGCGCTTATTCACGGTATGACTTCTCGCTTTTCGTCGGCTGATAACGCGGATAGACTTATCGCCGGCGATCGATATCTAATCCCACCTGGCTATTTATAAACGGTGGCCCTACACTTTGGGATATTGTGCACGCGGTGGAAGTAACAAGACTTTCTAATTTTAGAAACCTGCCGCTTCTCGATAGTCCATACGACACATTCCAGGCATTTTTATCGGTGTTTTCCCTTCCCGTTACCTTATTCCCTTTCATCATTCGTTATTCTTTGTACTGTAAGGATACGATATCTCATCGTGTAGCTACACAGCGCACTCCCCATGAGCGTTCGGATAAATCAGGAAATGATGTCCAATCCAGATGCGTGTATAAATAAAGCCACATTAAAAAGAACTATATAGGTTGCAATACATACCAGGATACTTTCTCTTATGCTCCTTGTCCACTTCACGTGCCAATGCAAAATATTTTTCCTTTATATCCTTTGACATGTTTTTCCAGAAAACGCCTAGTCTAAAAAATATAGAACAAAATAAAATCATTTTATTTTTAAATTATTATTTTATATACAAGCTTTATTTCTTAAAAGATAAACGTAAATTGAAAGATTTTCAAGGTTGAAAAAAAATCTTTAAAAATTACATATTTATGCGACAGAAACAAATGTATCTTTTAAAAGAGAGACTAGCCTAACACTGATATCTTTATTGGATTCCCGAGGATTCTCCGCAGCTAGTTTCCTCCGCCATTCATTGGCGAACAGCATAAAAGCGTTTGCCGGTCTCGGGATCTTGCGTTTAACTCCTGCAGTCGCTGTTGCATCCACAAGTTTGGTGTTATCAATGCATAACAACGTCGGAATACTAGTATTTTTACGTCTTGGCGATCGATTTCCCTGTGTACAATGCTGTTGCTGAGGAAAAATCTTGTCTACCTCACAACTGCCACACGATTGCTTCGACTCACTGGAAATGCGCTTTATGTTCACATTCTCCTTATTGTCGTCGTCGTCGTCGTCGTCGTCGTCGTCGTCGTCGTCGTCGTCGTCGTCGTCATCGTCGTTATCGAAATTCTTCTCCTCGAGAGAATGCATAGGAGAGATAATGTCTAGGAAGTTCATGTTGTTATTGATCTTATTCTTCAAATGTTCACTGGAAGACGGTTTTGTCTCTGTCGGTGATACCTCGACGATGACCTTTCCATGATCAATGCTGTCGCAAATGTATTCTTTTTCTTCACAAATTTCAATCGGTTTATCTAAAATACAAATTATTATTATACAAAACATTATTTCAAATCATTCTTCTTGAAGGATGTAATAGTCCATCAAGCCTTAATAGTGTTCATAAACATACTATGATACTATGATAGTATAATACTATCATACTGATTATAATCAGTATGATAGTATTATAATAGTATTATAATCAAATCATTATTATCCCATGTTGTTAATAGTCATTTGATTATTAAAAACTACATAACTAAACTACATAATCTAGATAAGATATGTTCGATTTTTAAATATAAAATTGTACAGCATTTCTATATATGTATATAGAATGTATATCTTAAATTGTTTTAGGATATTTTATACGATAGTTTACGCTTTGCATTATTCAATATGCGTTTAGCCGTTCGCTCCGAGCAATTGTCGCGTCATGAAATGTTTAGGAACCTAACACGATTTTATACGCTTACCTTTTACGGCGAAATTCGAGACACGTTCACGAGACTCCATAGCGATAAAATTTGTCGATTAGACTCGCCGTCGAGAAACCAACCGTTGCGTCAATTTTGTATTGTTATCCGCGTCTAAGAATGTACTTGAACCTTTTGATAATGGTGAAACGTCGACACGCAAACACAGACTATCGTTGTCGTCGGTTATTGAAAACACAAAACGATGCTCCGATCGTCTTATTGCCGATCTCTCTGTCGCGATCAACGATGCTGAAGAAAATAAAAGACATTCGCTCTAACTAAGCGTCATTTTAAAAAAAAATGGATATAAGTTCTTCTCACAATTATTTTTCGGCATGGTTTCTCAAACTTCGAAGAGTGATTTGAATATAAATGCGTCACGCGATAAATGTATGTGCACCCAACGTGGCATAAACTATTACAAAGTTTTATCGTTAGGATGGAATTGTGACAATACGGAAATCAGGGAAGCGTAAGCTGCATAATCTTTTTTTTTATAGGAAGACGTAAAAGTAGGGTTCTTATTAATTCTTAATAATCTATTATCACTTTTTCTTTGTCTCTCCCCCCCCCTCTCTCTCTTTCTCTCTCTTTCTCCCCTTTTTCTCTCTTTCTTCCATCCCCCTCTCTCTCATCTCATTTTTATCAATAATATTAAAAATATTTTTACAAAACATGACACAAAATATTTTTTCTTTGTAATATCAAAATGATATTTTGTGAAAAATTCTTCAAGTATTATATTAGTCTTTATTGTATTACAGTAGTATTATATTATGTATAGCTTTTACAATATTATATTAATTGTATGGTTTATATAAAAAACGGGGATAAAAAGAGAACGAAACATATTGCACCAACGAAATAGTGTAGTGTTATTTCTTTCAGATACGGACGATGTGCTATACGATACAATCCCGCACGGCAAAAGAACGAAGGTGCTGAGGCGATTTTCGTCTTAGCAGCTGAAGCGTACGACGTGCTCTCGGATCCACTTAGAAGGGCCGTGTATGATCAATACGGCGAAGAGAGTCTTAAAAATGGTGTGCCGAGACTAGAAAAATTCGTGAAACCTTACGTTTATCACGGCGAGCCGATGCGAACCTTTAGGTAGAACTATTCAGCTCTCAATTTATGTATTCTGGAGTTTAATAATGGCATCACACACACACACACACACACACACACACACACACACACACACACACACACACACACACACACACACACACGCACGCACGCACGCACGCACGCACAATGAGACATATGTATATATTTATAGCTTACTTTTTCTCAGAGAGGAATAGATATTTATTTTCCAAAATAAATATTTATTGTAAATATTCGATAAATTTTACACCTAAAAGCTTTCAGTATTCTAAAAGTTTTAATGTTCTCATCGCGAGTTTTATCATTAGAGAATTCTTTGCGACTGAAAATCCATACGACGATCTTCTAAATATTCTAACAGAACCTCAACCTCTACTTGAATTTCCCGAGGGTCAGGGTATAAAACAGAAGGAGGAACCCTTGATTAAAACCTTATTTCTAACTCTCTCGGAAGTAAGAACTGATCTATGTTTATAAATTTTTTTTGCTCCGGCTTTTAATTCTATTTATTATATTATGTCAATATAAATACATAGTATATAGATATTTTTCTATTTTTTTATGTATTTCTTTAACACAAAATTATTAAAAAATTGCAAATTATATTTGTAGAGACTGTTTTTTTTCTCTTTGTATGATTTTATTAAAAACATCAAATCTCGATCATTTGATTGAAATTTCGATTTCAAGTTTTTGTATATAAAATGATAAAAATCAAATTAAACATAAATTATATTCTTTTCGTATGGTTTAACGTATAAAAACCTTGTAAGAAACGAAAGATAAAATAATTAGCGTGTAATCGGGTAGTTGGAAACGTTTCGTCGTAGATATTTTTCGGCGGAATAAAGAAAATGAAGATCCAAAAGTTGGTTTTACTTGATGACGATAAGTCGATGACGTCGTCGATGGAGAAGATCTTGATGATACCCATTAAGCCAGGAATTCCAGCAGGTACTGAAATAGTATTTCCAGAAGAGGGCGATCAAAGTCCTACGAAGATACCTGGTAAGTATAAGTTTTTCCATTGCCTTCTTGATCTTTTTTGAACTTAGCTTACGCTTATAACCACGCTAAAGTATTACGATGTGTGTGATTGCGATAATAAAACAGATAATAAAACATTTTCTTTGTAGCTGTCTCTCTCATAGTTTAACGTTTTTTTTATCATATTTTATTTTTATATTAATCGTAAAAGCAAACGGTTTCCTATATTTAAAAAAGTTATCATATTCTTCAGAGTTTAAGGGGATGCTGGAGTGTCCTGTTTTACCATCAATTTTTAAAGACTCTTTTCTCTTAATTGTGTTTATGAATTGAAAAGTCCTTCTCCACAATCAAAGTATCGACAACAACACAGGCTGCCAGCTACAATG